TCCTAAGCTTTATTTTGATGGGTATTTTTATTGGGGTCATCACACAAAAAATAGCTCAAAATTAGATCTGAAGTTTTGAAAAAGTTTCCTAGCGATTTTTAGATATCAAAATAGGGCAGAAATACTTTAAATTTGGTACCTAGTTGAAGCCCAATTATTGGAGAAAATATTTTTGCCATTGGCTATTCTTCTTTGTTAACGGCCTCCCTCCGCTGTCATAGTTTTCAATAGGTACTTTCATGGGCTGTGCGCGGCGCCGCCAGGTTTGCTGTACTCACTAACCCAATTCTCTACTGAGTGACTATACTTCTAGTACATTTTATATATGTTTATTGTGAATGGATTTGAACATATTTAGTACCATATGAAAGATAATGAAATAAGCTTTACAAAGGTGTTTTTAAAATTTATATTTGATCAATAGTTTTCAAGAGAGACTCAATTAAAAAAGATGAATATCATTCCAGTTTCCGGAAATTCCACTAAAAACCTGCATAGTTTACACTTCCTTGCCGGTACCTAATAATATAGAAACAAACAGGATTAGAATAGTAATGCTGGACCAGATTTAAATCATGATCATAAATATGATGCTTACCATATCAAAAACTGAATCAGTGACCGCAAAAATGAAAATTTACACTTTAATATTCTTATTCTCAACAAAAAAAAAAAGCTTTAAAATGATGGGTTTAATTCACTGGAATTGACTTACTATTGCCAACACTTATGAGAAAAAGTATTATGACTTCTCTGTATAAAGGTATGGCCTACACTGCCACATTCTTTATGCTAATTACTCAGTTTACATATAGCAACAGTACGCTGGTTTTGGGATGGTAGGCCCATATAATTTTATTAAATTAGTGAATTGCACAATTAAAAAAATTTTTTTTTTTCTCTTTTTAGTGGGGGCACTCCACTTTTATCCATTTTCTTCATTTAATTTACAATATTTCCTTTGTACATATTTACAAAAAAATATCATCTAAGTGTAAAAATTAAAATATAAGTTATACAGATTTTGGTATTTCTTGAATTAAAACTTATTTTTAAAAAGGTGTTAAAAAAAGGATTTAAATCCGTAAAAAAATAAATTGTGTTAATAGATACCAGATAATGACTTGTATGAGAGACGAGTGAACCAGCGAGTAGACTCACTGACTGGGAACATTTACACTAAAGAGGTTTGGAGTCCGGAGAAATCTGACACTTCACAAGTAATCAAAGATGGTGATGAGGATGAAGAAGGGGAGGAAGAAGAAGATGAAGAAGAGGAAGAAGAAGCAGAACCAATAGAAGAGGAAGGGGTAAGATTCTCGTTCCATTACATTGCAATAATAATGATAAATGGAAATTAAAAATACTGTATACTAAAATGGACATATATAAAAACACTGCCATCCAACAAAAATATTAAATGCAGAACTTTATTGGTGTTGTAAAAGCAACTGTACAAGTCATTTGTTTGTTATTTGCAATCCATATAAAAAATGCTATACCTAAAAAAATGTTTAACTCATTTAAACATATAAATTGAAATATAATCTTTAAAAATATTTAAAAAATATAAATTTTGTAATTGAAATTACAGGCGAATCACATGTCCGAGCGGTAAGGCAGGGGTGCCCGACCGTCCCATGGCAAACAACCTAACTGCTATTGTATTCTTGTTAAAAGTTGTTTTGCCTTGGAATCGCTGTACTGCTGACTATAGTTTTCAAATCGGTGCTGGTGTAATTAAGCAGATTTCTCTGTTTTGTTGAGTGTGAAGTCATTTAAAGGGCTTGACTTTTTGTCCTGGACAATAAAGATATTGCCTCAACCTTTTACTGATTGTTTTTGAAGGTACATTTACAGTTGCGATAGGCTTAGATGAAACAAATGAGACCCACGATGTGCCTTTTGATCATGCTATAATATTTAGTTGGTAATGTGAAAGCAAGGAATTATCAGTTACCTATGTTAAATTAAGATGCATTTTGATCTGAACATGCATTTCGTCATTTTTTTTCTTTGTTCTTTGGTTTTATAGGAAATTGATGCTGTTCCTGAGCTAAGCTTTGAAATTCTTGAACGACTTGTGCGAAGACCAGAAGACCTTGCTGCGTATGTCACAGCTAATATCAAATCCTACAAAAATGGCATGCTTAGACTTTATGAGGTAGGAGACAAGCATTTTCTACTGTGAAGGCTTAAATATTTTATGTGCTAATTGTGTAGGAAAATAGGAAATATAAAATAACAGTAAGTTTGTAATAAATTTATAGGAGACTAAAAACCTTGTTGAAAGGCACTTTTGTGAGCTTGCTGCCTGCCAATATTGAGGATTGCGATTAAAAATAAAATTTATTTTTTGCCATTTAACTCGCACACTGCCACAATAAAATGGAAATGTCTGTCTACTTGTTACGGCCACCTCTGCCTTGAAATCTCCTAAAATAAGATATATATATTTCTTCCTAATTTTATTTTAAGTATTTAACAATAATAATAATAATTATAATAGTGGATGTTTATAAGGGGCCGGTATCCGCATGGTGCCAGAGCCAAACAAGACAGAAAAAATACAAGAGTGGAATTATGGAAGGTAATAGTGCAGGAAGAGGAGAATTAATTAGTGGGAAAGTGCTGGTCAAATATATATTTCTTTAGACTGGACATGATTGTAGTGATATTTTCATCAGACATGATGTGTATGGGCAGAGCATTACAGATTTTGAGAGCATGAGCAACAAGAAATGATCTATTTCCCCAATTATTCTTATTACTATGTTCAGCTAGGAGGAGTTGATGATCAAAGAGTCCTTCTTGGTATATATGGCGATAACAGATTTGACTATCCCATACTACAATGTTTATATTCAACAATAGAATTTTGTATTTATATCCTCTTCCATCCGGATGTTTTTGGCAAAACCATTTACTAAAAAGTAAACAACATTTAATTTTTATTTTTTTTCCAACCTTCTCTGATGATCTTTAAAAAAGTATGTTTGCCTTATTTATAAATACATGTGATAGCTTAACCATGAATTTTAGCTCTGTGGTTACAACCAGGCAACAATTTTTGGCCTAATAAAAAAAACAACATAAATGCAATAGTGAAAATGATGCGATGCCATTTACTTCATCCAAAGGATTACATGGCAGATCATGATCAGCAATATTTGATTGAACTAGATGGAAACAAAACGCCAGGCACGCTGTTTAAAGACCTTATGCTCAAGCTGAACACATTTACACTACGCCGTGCAGCAGTACCGATCCGTCTTCAAAACACTGAGGAAGAAGAGATACCTGAGGATGTGGAAACGGAAGAGTTAATGCGAACATTAGCAAGCACTGAGATGGTGGCCCCGCGGTACCGCTGGCGACGTAGTCGTTGGGCACGTGCTTGCCCTGTGGAACTGCAGAAGGGGAATGTAATCATGGGAAAGCCAGAATATGCAGTCGGGTATAGAGAATATTTTCTGAGATTTATTTCTTTTGACTAGGTGTACATTTTTAGTAACACAGATCACTTAAATTACTTAGTTTCCTTAAAGATAAATTACACTTCTAAGAAGAATGAATTATTTGTCTTTCTATTTACTAGTTCTACATTATTAATACCACAGTTCTCAGAATTTAAGAAAATGGAAACAAATTATTATAGACTTATTAAGCAATAACAATATGATTTTACAAAATTCTGATGTTAATAAATACAAGAAAGTATAATACATACTGCAAGTATTGAAATACATGCCATCGTGTTGGGATTCAATATTTTGACATTAATTATGTCATCATTATTCCTGATGATGACATAATTAATGTATTATAATGCAGTATGTATTATACTTTCTTATCTGAGATAAATACAAGATAATGAAAATATAAGAGATAAAATAAGTATTATCATATGATGAAGTATAATTTTAAAAGAGTACAAATAATTTGATGATGGCTGCGAATTGATACTAATTCAATTTTGAAAAATAAATGCAGATTAAGAACACTCAAATTTTCATTTTTGTTTCTTACAATATAGTTGTATTATTTGTATTATATTCATATAAAAGTCTGTGTTCAATAATATCGTGTATTTAATATCCTTGTTTTCTTTTTTATTATATGATTTATTCAACATCAATGCAATGCTAATAATGTAACATTACTGGATTGTATAATTATGATCAAAACCAATTCTCATACTCTTGGTTGTGTATTTGTCTTGTAAAAGGATTCCCACAAGCCATAAGCAACAGCTCTACAATTATGTTTTTGTCTTCGTAGTTTCTTGGATAAAATATATGTGATGTCTGGACCAGAGGCTTTTGAGAAGTTCTTGAAAAACCCCAGGCCATACTTGATTGGACCACAACCGAGGCCTCCATGCAAACTCAGTGTAGTTGGCCCACCTCTAGCTGGAAAAACATCCATCTCGCATCTTCTTGCTCAGAAGTTTAATGCTAGGGTAAGAAAAATGCTTTAAATCTCTAATCAATTGATGTTCAAAATTTTTAAGCAATTCAACAGTTGGTTTGTTAAGCGGGGGCATACACTATGCAGACGGTCGTGTGCTAATTCAATTTCATAAATGGTGCACGCAAATAGTTGTTTTTAATGATGATCATCCGCTCGGACGGCATCTTACAATTAATCAGCAGGCCATCTGACCGGGAGTCAATATGGCCTCGTCTACCGACCTTTGTACGATGCATTTTGTATCTGGCTGTAGCTTTTAAATACTCCATACTAACAGGCTGATGTTCACCATTGCAATTATTTCAAGGAAAAATGCTCACACAATATAAAGAGCCAAGGAACCCATAATAAATATCGCTAGAGCGTTGCTGCTCCTAAAAGCAACATGGTAATACATATTATACAGATGTTCTATTCAAGGTGGCAGCCAAAGTAATAATAGGTTCAGTCAGTAATTTCTATAATCCTTAGGTCCTTGATGTAACTGAATTGATAAAACCAAGAATGAAGGCTCACAAAGAGAAACAGATTCAGCTTGCCACAGAAGAGGCCAAAGAAAATGCAATTTCTTCAGTCAAATCAAAGCTTCGAGAGGAAAGAGAAGGTGGGTAATATTTACAACATATTCCTCATTCCCAACATACAGATTAAATTTTACAATGTTAATCACTGCAGTCAACTGAATAAATACATACCTTAGGAATATAAGATGATTGAAGATTTTGATTAAAAGTAATATTAAAGAAAAATATCTTTGAAGAATCTAATACGAATAATAATTACTTAAGAAAAAACTAAACTATACTTCGTTTTAATACAATTTCAAATAGCTGTCAATTTTAAAGCCGGACCCCTGGTCACTTTATTAATGCTGCCTTCATTCCATTCTAGCCAATGTATTTGAATCTTCAGACGAGCAGCCTGATCCCAATGAGGCTGCACAGGATGAGCAGTCCGATGATCCTACTGGTAAACATGCCAAACATACTATGTTTGCTGCACTGTTTCACTTGTAACTTTACGCCTTCATTCCCTAACATCACATTTCTAATTCAGGAATAATAGCAGTAGCCTATATCCTTGCATTTCAGAAGCAAAACAACATTTTTTGACATTTACATAAAGTATTGGAACCTTTGTGCTTATTTGTCATTTAAACTCCCATTCTTATGTGGCCACAATATAATTTTGGTGGGAACCACATCGTCCTATGCCTGTTTAAAAGGTCTATATTCTGAGGTGTTAATCATATGACCCGCCTGTGATGAATCATGTAACATTAAGCTCACTACATGCAAGCAAATTCAACCCAGTGACAGTATAGCCTCATCATAATATGCCCATGTGTGTTTTCCATGTCTTGTATCATATGTGGCAAAGACAATCCAAACCAGTCACTCATCACAAAGTTATTAATACAGGGATAAAGAGTAAAATATGAGCTATGAAATGGTAAAAGAATCATTTAAATCCGACATTTCGTTATGAAGTTACAGGAGTTTAAACAAACAGTTGTTTAAAGAACAATATTTGAGAAATCAGCCTTCAAAGTTTACGATTTCAGGCATTTCTTAGGCAGAAACCATCACCAAATCGTTAAAAATGTTTTTTTTTACATTGAAAATGAGGAAATAACAACATAGCATGATGTATAGATATATAAAGGTATTAGTTTAGTGCAATAAAATAGATTTAAAAAAAAATTGACATTCCAGCATGTTTTCGCCATTTTCTCTGAAACACGATTTGCGACGAGTGACTTGTCTTTGCCACATAAGTTTTGCCTCACGACGCCCATCTGCATCAGATGCAATTGAGGAAACAGTCAGTTGACCAAAATGCATATTTTCATTAAAAATTTTTAGTGATATATTATTCGAAATAACTTTTTTTGTACAGTAGTAAAATCAATAACAGTAACAGTAGCAAAAACATTAACAATAGAAAAGTAATAGTACTGATAACACTGTTAATTATAATGATGGATATAATTATATTAATAATTTGTAATGCCATATTATGTAATAAGCTATAGGTTATTAAATTTATTGATGGATTGTAATAATAATATTTTTTAGATTTTTAAGATTATCTGTATACTATTCGACAGTGATATCTTAAAGCAGTGTGGCTGTAGAAATCTAAGGGTAGGGTGGATGATAGACATTTTAAGGGTGGATGGGTGATAACATTGGTAAACTCTAAATAATAAGGGTTGATTTTAAGGAGGGTGGAGGGCCTGAAATTAGCTTTAGACTTGCTAGGAAACTCCAAGGCTGGGTGGCCCTGTATTGCATATAAATAATTCAGTATTCCGCATATCATAAGTAAATGGTAGTTGACTGTAATGTGTTGTGATTTTTGTAGCGGCCGAGCAACTTGCTCGTGTCAAGGCCCGCGAAGAATCCGAGGCAGCTGAAGCCGAAGCAGAAGAAGGTATAACACGTAGTAACATGTAGAGGGAGTCCTTTGTCAGCTGTCTAATATCATCTCTTTTTAATAGATATAGGTTTGCTGTGAAACTCGTAGGTCTGTCCTAAATTAACACATCTTCTGTCTTATACAAAATTTTGAGTAAAAATTATTGACAAGAACAACTCACATATATTCATAATCTCTGTGCACATCACAAAGTAAAATTAGATTTGAAAATTACTGGTTTTATTGCTTAAACTAAATGAGGCTTTTGACTATGATTAGTTCATCAACCTTTCAATTGGTGTTTCTTGCTTGCTAGATTATTACTTATATTTTCATAGATGCCACATAGGTTGGGTTGTCAGTTTAGTTTGCCAATAACTCAACTGAAGTATAATGTCATATCCATATACTAACTATCACTACTCAGTTGGTAAAACTATCTTCTTCCGGAAACTATCCTGGTATTTCGAGGCTTTGATACTATTTCTTTTTTGAATACACTATGACTATTTCTGTTTTTGGAATGCAGTATTCTAGGCTTTTTAAAATAGATTTCTAAACTTTTCTGCTTTTGATTTTCTAGCTTTTCCTTTCTTTAGCTATGTAAAAAAAACCCCAAATAATCCCTAAAAGGTTTTCTCTGTCTCTTCTTTTAACAATTTGAAAATGCATTTTTAATGTTGTTGTTTCATAACCTCCTGTGAAATCTGCCACATCATCATATACATTATACAACAATTGGTAATTTTTCTTTGTTTATTTGGTAATGTAGTTCTTTTCATAGTGGCCTGTTAATTCATAAGTTTTGCTGTAATACTCAATTCTTTTTTTTTTAGCCATATAGTGATGGTGTGCTCTTTTGGTATACTCATTTTTTTTAATCAAACTTCATATAATTTTGATAAAGTAATAGCAAGTGTAAAACATATGACTGAAAATAAGCTATATTTCAAGAGTTTTTTGAATAGCATTTTAAAAACTGAAACATCTGATGGTAATTCAATCTTTGTATGAGACAACATAAATTGTTAATGTATTCTATTACCTACTCCATGGATGATTAGAATTTTGACTGAGTGACACAGAAAAGAAATGAACTGCAGAGCATGTGATTTTGTAGGTTCAAATAGTAATCATCACATGACTAATGCATACTCAGGTATCATTCATAATAATCATTGCTTCCATTAACACAGAAAGGTACAAGTTGACAACAGACACTGAAGGTGAAAAAACACCTCGTGAAGGAGATGAGGAAAAGGATACAGATACAGATGAGAAAAATGAGGATAGAGTGGTTGAGAAAGAAGGTAGAAACAATTAATAACAGCGTGTTATAAGTCTTCTGTCTAATTAACACCATTTTTTTCCTCAATTTGATTTGTACTTGTTTTGCCACTGTTATGCAACGTAATCATTGTATCTATTATGCAAATTACTGACAAAATACAAAGTGACTCAAGTGAGGTGGTATTTTGATAACAGGGATTCTAAAGCCATGTAGTATAAAGTGTGCATCCCTATGTCAAAGGTCAAGGCATATAAGTATACAGTCATATTGGCTATAATAATTATTGGTATTTTAATAAAAGCATTATGAAACATCATTACCTCGATTTTTCTGATACAAATTATGGTACACACAATAGTATAGTCCATATGACTGCTTATACTTTGGACTTTGACATAGTCATGCTCTTGAAACTACAAGATGGCTTAATCACTTAGGGTTGACCACTTAATGATTGGTCAAGTTTGTCTTCATAGAGAACATGGTCTGTTGTAAAGTCTTTGTATATTTTCAAACCAGGTCTTAAATAACACGTTTATTGAATATTAATTTTCACAAATTAGCTCTTCTAGCAAACCTGATTATTGCGACAATCTTATTGCAAAAAATACTCTAAAAACTATAAGAAAAATATGTATATTGAAATCATGATTAATCAGTATTGTAAATATAACTGCCAGTTCTAATGAACTGACTATTTTACATTGTTGAATCCCTATTGATTCAAATGTCCACATTTAACATTATTTTAAAATGCAAAAGGTTTTGCCAATATCAGGTTCTCAATAAATGTGTGTCAACAAAGTGCCAATTAGCGCTTAATTGTATTGCATAGTTCTTACACATTTTATTTCACTAACACTACTAACATTTAATATTGCTTGTCTATATGTAATTGTATTCTCATTTATTGCACTTTATACTATTATATCATCTTGTCATATCATTTTATTATAATAACTACAGTACTTTTCTTCTCGCATAAATCTTCTATTTACATAATATTTTATTCTGTATAATTGTTTGCCATTAGTAGCTTTAACTATTTCAGTTTTTTGTAGTTGCAATATTATTATTTTCTATTTTTAAATTGTTTTTTTATGAATAACTATTTCACTTGTATTATATTTTGTTCCATAAACTGAAACTTGTACATATTGTTTGGTGATTTTATTGTCTACTGCCTTTGTGAGTGGTTGCTTTGTGCAACACAGGTCTGCTGACTGTCAATGGTGGCCTTGGCTTTAAAATTGTGTTTAAATAACGTTCCGTTGCACAACACATGCTCGCATCATGGTCTCATGGAACCATATTTGCTGCTGACACAGGTTGCACTCAGATAGCTTTTTAAATGCATATAAAGCTATGCTCATTTTGCTCAGCTAATAATCATATATTTGCCATTCTGTATTAAATATATTCTGATTTTTGTTAATTTTTGTCAATGTCATTATATTAAAAGTCATCATAATACTTGCCTTAAGATGTGTTCCTAAATGTAAAAAAAATGAATTTTTCTAAAACACACAAAGGGTGTTTGACGATAAACTTGGGAACATAACTACTGTTTCTCCAACCGTATTTCCCAGTCAAACATCATTTTTTGTGTCTTAGAAAAATCAGTTGTACAATATATCATCAACATTTTTTTTTTCCTCTGAAGCCTGCTGGCTTTTAATGGTTCAGACATAATTTAATGATTCAATCTCTGTGTTTACTTAAAATAAACTTTAACAATAAGATTCAATGTTTAAATACTTAAAGTAATTAACTTACAATATATGAATTTTAAATTGTAAGTTAATAATCTTAAGTAATTTACTTAAATAAGGTTAATAACTTAAAGTTTATTACTTTAAGTTATTAACTTGCAATTTGAAGTTAATAAATGAGACTATATTTTTCCAATTTACAAATGTGCGTAATACCATCATAGACCCATCAATGACTGACCGACATAAATTATTTTCTACTAAAAACTTGGAAATAAGTAAAAACTGAATTTGATAGTTTTAAATGAGAAATGTGTGTTTCAATTGAACATTTCAGGGGCGGGGTCGAGGGATTGTTTTAGTTTTCATGACATACAACATTTCTTTTAATTTCATTTATTTGATGAATATAATTTGATTATATATTTCTGTTTGCATATTAAGTAATTAGAGTATTAAATTGTTATTCTTGTTTGATATTGTTTCTCTCTTTAATATTTCATAAACAAATTGAAAAACAGATGAAGATGAGGAAGATAAAGGTAAGGAATCGTATCACAATAATTTTGTTTATATCAGCACTTTCATTTTCTCTCATTAAATATGGTTCAAATAAAACAATTAATATTTTGTAAATGAAATTTGAATTTTGTTACTCAGTAGATGACAGTGCAACTGTGAAAGGTTCTATTGCCCCAACTGAACCAGCATCGGGAGTCACTGAGTCGGAATACAACAAACCAGATTCACTAGACCCTGAGGTGAATGAATCACACCCTGAGGTCCAGGCGGCCATTGAGGCTGCCATTGTGGAAGCAGAATCTCAGGTGTACTCGTTGGCACCAGAACAGTATGTCGATGCTATAGAGGAGGCCATCAATGAAGTTCACAAGGAACTGAAACGAAAGGATCAAAATGGGCCTGGGTAAGTTATTGAGCAGAAAATCTGTGGAGGGGATGCTACAGGTGAAAGTTGCAGAGTTAGGAACATGAAAGAAGGGTTGATATGACATTGCCAGTTATAAGATGGAAGTTGGATGTAAATCTTGATTGGCCAATATCTACTTCTTGTCTTTCCCAAATGGAATAGAAAAAATATAAATGTGTATGCCATCTGCATTTTGACATTCACACTTTTCCATTTATAGAGATGTCGACCTGTTGTTTATAGTTTAATTATCACAATCAAAAAAATGTTTGGCAATTAGTACTACTAATTGTGCTTCTTTGCCTAGTGATAAACCCTAAAATTTTGACTCTCCAGCTGCACATACTAACTTTTTTTCCTACTATAATTTCATTCATTCCTTATGTTTAATCCAAGTGCTGGTGGTTGGGTTCTGGATAATTTCCCACAAACAAGGGACCAATGGAATGTTCTAATTGACCGTGGATTGGCCCCTGATGAGGTCATCATGTTGAAAGATACAAGTGAGGGCGGTGTTTCATTACTCAAACGCTGGTATAAACTGAACAAGGAGGAAGTGGACATGAAAGCTAGAATTCGTCAAGAGGAAGAAGAAGCAGAAAAGAACAGAGTGTTAGAGGATGCCAGGTATGCCCCATTAAAGAATGCATTTAAAATTTTTTTTTTTTTTTGTGGTTACATTAAGTAGTTGATTATTTTTTCCTTGTACTTTTAAAAATCACTTGTAGAATTTACAGAAACAAGTAAACAGCAGCATACAAAATATATGAATAAAGATAAAAGAAATATATACAAACAATGTGATTTAAAACTAGTTTTAATTGTACTCTCTCGCAAACTGGGCTTGTTTTTGGTAAGTGAAGTATTTAGATTGGTTGTATGGGAATTTATAAACTCTAATTTATATTAATAAGTGATGATTTATAAATTTTATATAGAGTAAATATTTTCCACCATGTTTCCACTAATAAATTGCTCCAATTACTATTTTACACTAAAAAATTGAAAAAAAAAAAAAAAAAAAAAAAAAATTGAGAGCTTGTACATCAGTTTTTAGCTTCATTTTAAACAGGTACCAGCAAATTGGTGGTAGTTACCTGCTGTGGAGCAGCATCTCACCGTCTTCCTCTTCCCACTACTTGAATCTGGGAAAAATCTCCAGCCCTATAATCCCTGTGGCTCGGCAAGGATTTACTAGTTAACTTTATTTTATGTGTTTAAAAAAGGAATCATAATCATCATAACCTTATACATTAATAGGCTAGCTTGCAGAAAATATAGTCTGTGAATCAGCAAAACTAGTTAAATTTAATTTATTCTTTTAAACAATTAATTTAAAAAATTTGAAGATTGAAAGTTTTGAGGGTTACTAAAGTTAGCAATCATATATACACCTTTCTTCTTGGTTTCAAGCATTTCTTTTTATCCCTGATCTTTGGTTTTACTACCTTCTGAACTTTCACCAATGCAACAGAGTTGTTTTCGAAGATGTTAATCGATAGACTTATGAGATTATGTCTCTTAAGTCCTATGGTAGAAGAGAATTCAAGGTAAAAATGTGTTGCTGCAGTATCGGTGCATTGAGATATGCAGCAACAGATTGAAACCCTTGACGCTCAGGTTCAGAAGCCAAACCCTTAACAATACAGTAAACTGTTTCCATAAAATTTAAATTTTTTAAATAACACCCTATTTTATTTGGATTTTAAATTTACAATCATCTAATATGGTCTATTAAATTTTACTTTCCTGTGTATTGTATATTTAAATTTTATTTTTTTATTTAATAATGTTTAATTACTATTTACATGCTTCCACTAAATATCTGTTGAAAGAAATTTTTATAAAGTTTTATATTAACAATACCTATTATGGTAATTTGTTTTTAAACGCTTCTAATTATATTTTTTTATTCTTCTTTGATCATGCTATGGTTACACCAATTTTTATCTCGCTATAACAGTATATTGTTATAGAGCATGTTCAGGCTTGTTTATAATGTGCTGTAAAAGTATAACACTAATTGACCTAAGATTTTTTAGTTAATAAATATTAACCACATACAGTAAGTATAATATTACATTAACATTATGTTTACATCATTATGATTAGTAGCATTAATGCAGTTTCATGCAAAGTCATTGTATGAACATATGCCAATTTGTGCTATAGTATTATTAATATAACCTATGAAATTAATTAATATAAAAATAAATTATTTCTACATTTACCATATTCAGACTTCAGGATGAAAGGAGGAAAATTGAAGAGGAAGAAAGAAGGCTGGCTGAAATTGAAGAAAGACGCCAAAAAAGAATTGAAGATGGTGAAGACCCAGAAGGTATGTTTTTATTCTATATTTGATATGCCCATATATGGGCAAGTGACAGATTATTTGTCACATAAATTGACTTGGCTTATAAGGCAGAATCACTCGCATGCATTATGTGCAAGGTGCTACAGTAGTTTCTTAATTAAATTACTTGTATTTGTATGGCTAAAGGTACAATAGATCATTCCATTAAGCCCCGCCCCTTAGATATTGCTTAGGTCTCTCAAAAAGATAGTGTAAGTGTATGTAAACACTTATGTTTGTGGGACAATACGTGTGTTGGACATGCGCATATTCCTAGCACTGTTCTGGTTGGTCAGTCAAGTTTGATTGACACTCCCAAAGAGGTCCATTGTAATGATACACTGTTTTGAACTTTCATGTACAACTACAATTTATTAGAAAACTCCATGGTTTAGAGTAACCCTTGAGATCAAGCTTTTAATATTATCTTTTTTTTTTCTATCATAAAATTTAATTATTCACCGTTCATTCAATTCCCCTACCCCCATCGATGTATCAGACATTGGTACAGATGGAGAGGGAGATACAGAGCAAGAACAGGAGCAGGAACAGGAGGGAGGACAAGAAGAAGGTAGAAGATTACAGTGTGCTTGCTAATCTTCATAAAATGATTTGATAATCATTCATGCTAACATATTGGTCTCTACTAACATTTGCTCTTCAAACACTAGGCCTACATTTCCCTCGCTTTGGAATATTATAATGCTGCTGTTTAATATTGTATACCTGACCTTTTATCTCGCAAGAAAGCACATATCACGCTTGTATACAGGAAGCATATTATAAATACATTACTTGTATTCAATTATACATGTAATTATTTTAACAAATTGCCATCAAATACTAAAATGTTATTGGTGAACAGCATGAATATATTTATATCAAGGTTATTGCTATCAAATACTAATATATTATTGGTGAACAGCATGAATATATTCATATCCAGCTTATTGCCATCAAATACTAATATATATTGATGTAAAACATGAATATATTCATATCAAGCTAATGAAGATGATACATATTTAATCGGCACACAGTTCTAGAGTTCATTTCGGTGACAAGAAACTTCACGGGGCGGAACTTTTTAATAGACACTGTTGGCAAAATGTATGTCTATCAAATATTTATATGGCAGAAGGTCTTGGCAAAACGATTATTGCTACCAATCGATTATCGTGGATATATACATTGCAGGTGGGGGTGGGGGGATCCAGAGAAAAATCTGGGTCATGCAGCGTTTGAAGCACCAAGTGAGGTGGGGTTGTTTGAGATTTTTGTTTAGAAATGCTTGACCATAAACACTGGGTACATATAATTTAAAACTAAAATTAGCTTGTTTTGGAGTACCATGCTCTCCCCTTTCTACTTCCTTTTCTTCTTACTAATCTTTTTTGTTCTGTTTTGGTGGGAGTTATTGATGTCTGTGTTCCCCTCCCACTTTGGATATGCCCCTGTCATAATATTGCATTTAAAAGTAGTGCTAATCATTTATTTTTTTTTATGCGTATGCACAGCATAATAATACAGTCTGGTGTAAAATATACAACACATCCACATGTACGCACTGAATGCACTCTCACAGTCAGTTTTATATCGTTGAGTTTATTCAAATTTGTTATTTGAATTTGTTGTAATACATATCTTGAGAGTGGGTATTACTGAGTGAGTATATTCTATTTGTGTCCCATGTTACTAATATTAAATGATAAAGTGGAACAAAAAAAAAAAAGAATTTCTGTGGGAATGAAACCAGCAATCTTGGAAGTAGATCAAATTAATAATTATTAATAATCAATTTATTAATTAGTATTATTATTTCCAGTATTTCACAAATTTATTGCTGTATTTCCAGGTTCCGACCTTCAGTTATCCCAAATATTTCACAGCAGATATGACAAGGCTCTGTTCTTCATTCATCCATACCAAAAACAAAAGATAATTGAAGTTACTGGTTCGGTTTTCACAGTAGTTCATTATTTAGAAGGTTTTCTTATGAGTTAGAATCCAGTAATCTCGGATGAAAGTTTGAAAAGGACGAAATGGTTTGAATTTAGTTTCTAATTTAGCACAGTGTTGTATACTGTACTAACTGTTATATCCTCTGGAACATTTAAAGGTGAAACGATGCCCCCTGACATCAAAGTTGAAAGCATCAATGCCGAAGCCACTCCCGATTCCAAACCCATTGTTGACCTGAAGTCTGATAATAATGATCAGGGGGGTAAGATCAGGGGGGTAATGTGTATTTCACAGTATTGCCCGACGCAGAAATTATATCAGGTAGCATCAGCAACAGTAAACCCACACTCATACCCATTTGCACATGCACACACATACCACCACACACACTTGCACATACATTGTTCAACTTTAAAATTTGTAAATCAGCATCTGTATTAATTAATTTAGTGAATGATGCTCTCTGTTTATACTTACTCTGGGTTACCTTCACTTAACATTTCCTCATTGAGGTATCAACACTATTAATTTTTCTAATCATAGAAAGTAATACAAGTATATTTGATATGTGAACAAGTATATTTGCACCTAATTATAATTAATGATGATTACCTTCAGTTTTAGTCAATGAAACTTTTTCAACAGTAGCACTTAATGTGTGTTTTAACATAAATTACCTTATATAATAAAACATACATATTTATCATATTAACAAAATAATAAGACTACCATTAGACCTAAATTAAAAATATTTAGTTGAAGGGCACCAAACTAATATATACCCTTAACAAAAGTATCCAATAAGGATTATAATAATATGTTAGATATATTAAAAAAGTGATAGTAATTTGAGAAGTGTAGAGAGGACAACTTACGGTAAACAAATTCCATTTTCCAATTAAGTGTAATGCATTAATTAATACTCTCAGGACTGCTATTGCATATTTAATTAGGTTTGATTGACTTGTGCACTATTTGCTTTGCATAATATATATTGCTTGTACGCTACATTAACCATCATTAATGTTTCACCACTTGCATGATGCTTACAGATGATGTCGTCACTGCTGAATCTAAAACAGCGCCCTCTGCTGAGGCTGAATCTTCAACCCTGTCTGTGGAAGGAGGTAGCTTGATTAAACTAATACGTGTGAAAAATAACTAACATTAAATCTTTGAATTACTACAGCTTTTCTAGCAAATTTACATCAAAACTCTAATTGTTTAAAACATGGTAATATTTACAATACAGTACTGCACATTTCAACAGTCACCTAGGGATGTGCCATATGAAATTGTTTTTTCTGCATACAATTATTAATTGGCATATTTGTATTAGGTTGTTGAATGTGCAGTTTTTGTAAATATAAAGAGTTCTTTATATTGTCATTATCTTCTGATAGTCTCTGTCTATTTTCCCTATTCAATTTAAACTCTTATTTTATGTATTTTCTTCTGCAGATAATATAAGAGCAGGCATCTAGTCTGTTGTTATTTTAATAGTTAAACTCTTTCAGTTTAGACATTTATTTCTATATAGATATAGTAGTACAAAAAGGAATTGCCTTTTTAATTGAAGTCTCATGTGGGACACACCCTGCATCGGCCCATGAACCTATCTTGCTCTGTGTGAGTGCGAGGTACTGCAATACCTGCCAATTGTCAGTGGCAGGCTAAGAAGATTGTTTTAAAAAAAAACAAACATTCAGCATGCCTCTTTGTGTTGCGATTTCCATGAAATTGGGCCAGCAATAGTCATTTGATGCTGTGTGCCCGGCCTCAGATAAAATGTTTCTGTGTATGTAGTGGTATATTGACGGGCAATATGTATATTGTAGTCTATTCGTAGAGTTTTGCTTTTTGTAGGTAGTATAAAAAGGAGTAGAGCATTAGCAAGCATTTTCTTTGGAACTACTGTACTTTACCTCAGCATATAGTAGTAGAGTATTAATAGGAATGAATAATCTTTATTTTAGTGTATTCACGCTAACAGTTTATTCAAACTTCTGTTTATGTATAATTAGTTTGAATGTATAAATAAGAATACCAGACTGTCATTCATTTCATAGATCATTCTACTTTATTCTATAGATGATATAACAGATGATATCTGTGCCTACTCTGAAAAAACGTCTATTTTCCTTACCAGATTTCTCCATAGAAAGAAACTTTATGCTTTTTCAAAGTTTATTTTTATTGTTCTGTAGTTCAGATGAAGTTGTTGCTTGCTGTGATTTTTAACTGGTTTTGATCTTGTAGGATAAAATGCTTCCTTGATATTTCAGAAGGCTAATTATTCCAGAAATAAATTTAAAAGTAATAGTTTTTGTTCAACAGAAGCAGAGGAAGAGGAACATGTTGATGTACCCAAAGAGGACCCCCTACCACCTGAAGGTCCCGAGACCCAGCGGTTTAAAGACTTGAGGGCTGATTTTGACCGTGAATGGCCATCCATCCAGGGAATGCTGACCGGTATGGTGAACATTGAGCCAATTGCTATTGACATAGAGGTCAAGAAAGAAGAGGACATTTTGAAGGAGGCAGTTACTGCTGTAGAATGTAGGATTTTATGTATCTCTATTTATGGTAGACCTGTTATAAACAAAACAGGCTGAAAAACTCAGAATGTAACTTTAAATGTTAAGAGATGACTTCAAGAAAATATAAATTTGCTAGCATTCAATTAAAGGTTAGAAATAGCTATGTAAACTTAAAATAAAACCTGGTTTTCATAAAATTGCTACATGATATCGCCGAGAGCTTTTGCCAATGCTGATTGGTCTGTTAACTCAGAGAGCTTTCCTGATTGCATTGGAGACAGCTATACAGTTGATGATGGAAGTGAAGATAATGTAGTGACTGTGTAATGGAACCATACTTTGTTAGCCTTGCAAGAGGATGCCTCCAATATTAATATAATTTTCTTTTGCCAGCACCCTTCACCTACAGACCTTGGGAGTACACAAGTATTGACATGGATGAGGATGATGAGGATGCAGAGGCAGAAGACGATGATGAGATGGAAGAGGAAGAGGTAACAGCAGACTTTTAGAATTGTTCACTACAGACACTATCTGTTTAACAATTATAAAATTTTAAATAGACGGTATAATATCGGCTAAATTCAGGGATCTGATTTGCTGTACAACAGAGATTTGACTAAGTCAAGTTATAAATTATTATTATTATTATTGTTATTGTTATTGTTATTATTATTATTATTATTCATAGTTCCACATACACTGCACCTGAATCTTTGATGTAATTTTCTTTTTATATCAGTTGTACTTTCTGTGACAAATACTATATCTTTGATTTGCCCATATATGGCATGATGATGTCATATGACACACATTGTGCAAATCAAAGATATTTTTTTTTCACATGTGTTATGCTGTAAATGTACACACATACAAACATATCTATTTCTCCATCTGATTCTTTAGTACCTTGGTAATCAGCTTCTTCAGTATTCATGCAGTTGTTGAAGAAATACCTGCATTGGATAAGAGGAAGACTGCATTTCACTCAAACTATAAATATTATAGTATAGTCTTTAAAGTGCTAAGATTTATAATTTCTTATATTGTTCTACAGCAGACTAATGTGGCTACACATTTTATTCATCATGATGATTTCTCTTGGTAGTCACTGTATTACAATTGATGCTAATATTCCATTAAGGTGATGAATTCCAGCCATTGATGTATCACCTAGAAGCTCTACTAGCCAAAGCTAGGTGCCCCAGACCAATTGTGCCAAGATAGGCCTATATATTTTTGTTGCCATTACTCAAGTTTTCCAAATCAGTTCAGTGAGGCCCCTTGCGAAGCAGAAATTGTAAAAAAGAAAGCATCACAGAGGTTTTTACTTATATTGAGGCCCTTGTCAAAAGCTTTCAGAATAGTGTGGCTCCAAAAAAAGCCTAGCCAGGGCCTGAGGCCACTTTGTTATTCCACTGGTCCCAACTGTATCCTAAGGTACAGTTCCCCCCAATTCTCAACTCCATAAAGCCCTGTTTAACTTGGAATTTTTAAAATAAATTTATCATAGGTATAACACATGTGTTTTGCCCTAACTTTTTTTTTCAAAGAGTATTGCAATATTGTTCATTGATAGGATGAAGAAGTTGCCAAGAATAAGAGGAAACCTTATGGTGACACAAAGCACTTCTGCCCAGTATCTTATGCAGAAAAGTATGTCCTCTGGCCTGGTAACCCAGAAATTGCAGCCAAGTACAGGGAACAAATCTGGTATTTTTCAAACAGTGAAGAGAGGGATAAATTTCTGGCAAAGCCAACAGCATATGTTGCCAAATCAAAACCATTCAAGGTATTGTTATAAACAGCTTTTTTTTGTGATTGTAAGATATAATAAGAATGTAATATTTTTAGGGCTAGATTACTGATTTCTTTTTTGGTTTTTCTCATTATACTGGAATGGAGTTGAATGGCTTCCCTTCCAATCTTAAGGTCCTGGGTTCAATTCCTCTCAATAGGACTTTTTTGCATGCCTAAAAACAACTCCACTCTCCAGGGGACTTGGTTTATAAAGCATCATTCCATCCTGTTTGTGGTGAGTATACGTGCTGTTGGATGTGAAGAGAAAAGAATATAGCAATCACAAAGAGGTCCCATCAATATGTTTTGTTTCCACTAGTACTGTATTACCGTTTTATTGACATTGTCATTATAATCAAATTCTGATAAAAAAAAATCAAGAAAATTGCTGTTTCCAGGCCAGGAAAAAAAATGTTTGTGCCTCAAACCATAAACAATGTCTCAATAAAAAGCCTCCAGCACTAAATTTTATCTGTATAATATATAGCCCTACAGTTCATTTTGTTTAAAATTTTTCCCCAAAAAATCCTCCAGAACATTTATGATGCCTCCGACCGCTTGTCACTAAGGTGTGCACTTTTTCCTGGATGTTTCTGTAGAATTATCATCCTAGTATTTAGAGGACATAAATAATGATGAATTCTCTTTTTTGTTAGTGATTTATTTGAAATATCTATTAAATTTAATTCTAACTTTACTCAATATGTATATTGGTTTTCTGACAGCCTCCACCAGTTCGACTCTTCATGCTTGGCCCAAGGGGTGCAGGGAAGTCCCTTCATGGGCGCGCACTAGCCAAGAAGCTTGGCATCTTCCACATCTCTTTCAAGGATCGTCTTCAAGAGCTTATCATTGCAAAAACTAAGAAGAAGGTGGGGCCAGAATACGAAGAGGAGGAGGAAGAGCCTGACAGCGATGTAGAAGATGGTATCCAAGGGCCAGATGGAGAAGGTGTGGATGGAAGTGGGAAACCAAAAGGAGCAAAGGAAGAACAGGAAGCAGAGGTAAGATGGAAATTAATTATTGAAAAGTTAAATCAGACTCACTTTTATGCATTTCAAAATTGCAAAACATTCTGCCCTCTGTTACAGGAAAAATACAGTCTATCAAAACAAAGTTTTCAGTCAAATACAAATTCAAATTCAAATTTTTTTTTTTTTTTTTTTTTACATTGTTTATTTAATGAATATTTATCAGGATAAACCAACTGTTACCCTAAAAATATTAATAGAGCTGTTTGTCCAAGGCCACTGTATGTTCTTTTAGAATATTTCTATCTTCAAAGGTATCTATTGTTGTATTAAAAGTTGATAAAGAAATGAGGTTGCCTATTTGGGCATTTACGTAATGCGTAAAAGTAGGAGAATAACTCATAAGTCGAAGCGTCTTTGTGGTGAACTGTGTATGGGCGTAGTCCGTAACTATCTAGCCGCCATAAGGAGGCGCTTATAGTAGCTTCATGCTCATATCATTCCACAACGACGGGCTGAAATGAACCATAGTACTTGGTTTACCTAACCTCCTACTTTTCCGAAAGGTGTAATGGGTTCTTTAAAGTGCACACAAGACAGATGCGTACTTCTGAACCTCCATTTTATATCCTTATCCGAGAAGACTCGGTTTTACCAACTGAACCCTGGACGAGGAGTGGCTCAAACCAGTGCCAATGTTAAGGCTGTTACATGCAGCAGCCTTGGACAAATGAATCTATGTGCCTTATACCTACTAACATCAATGCTGATTTTTGTTTTTTTAAGGGTGGTGAAGAGGAAGAACAAGAAGTTGAACTAACAGAAGAAGAGGAAAACATCAAAGCATATCTGATAGACGATGAAACACTGCCACATGAGACCTTAGAGAAGATCATTTCTCCCTGGTGGAATGAGGAACCATTTATGTCAACCGGCTTCATCCTAGAGGGCTTCCCACATTCGGCCGACGAGGCAAATTACCTAGCCGAGCGAGGCCTCTTCCCAGACCTTGCGGTGTCCTTAATCGTTGAGGACACTGACATTCAGTCTAGACTGCTACCTCCAAAACTGAAGAAATGGAAAGAAAGGAGAGACAGAAGGCTTGCCAAGAAGGAACGAAGGAAGGCGAGGAAGAAAAAGGAAAGAGATGCTGCCATCAACAAACGTAAATTAGAGTTGCAGACAGAGATGGCTGATAAGAAAGCTGAACGATTGGTATGCAAATAATTCATATAGTTACACTTTGAACAACAGTTTCATATTCCAATTTTAAGTTAATGTATTGTATTATTTTTATACCATTATATTTATTACTATTATATTGTTTTTATTGTGTTTGTTATAATAATGCAGTATGGATAATATAATGGTATTATTATTGTATTATTTAACATAAAATATTAAAATAAATGTTAATTAAAGGAAAGGGATCCATCTAAACACATTTGTGACTCTGGCATATTGTTATTGTTATCCATGCCAAATAAAAAAACAAATATCAATTTAAATAAAAAGTGATTTAATAGAATAATATGTACATGTGGCATATCCCTTTGGTTGTCTGATAAGTTTGTATTATCCTGGTCATAGAAACTTTTCATACAGGTCTCTCTCCAATTAAGGACCATGTTTGGAACCGAGGTTTCTGTGGTCTTTAGCAGCTTTCGTTTCTAATGAATTAGAATAATAAACATAAAAGACATTTGTTAATTTGGCACCTCAGAAAATTGGTCTTTAATTAGAGGTGGTCTTTAACTGGAGGGTCTTTAGTTAGAGGCAGACCTGTATTTCATATCTATTAAAGCATCCCACAACACACTGTAGATTAAATATTCTGCTTTTCTTTCATATAATTTTTAGGCAGCACGCAAGGTGAGTTTTGCACTTTAAAAGTAGGAAGTAGTATTTGCAGTGTTTATATTAACTAGAGTGGAAAAAACTTCTGATTAAAGATATACTCTTAAAGCAAACAGTTTTTTTTAAATTGAATTTAATTAGTTATTATAAGTAAACTAGTGAAAAATTGCTCAACACACAGTATATCTTTAACACATTATTTTGCCTTTCCAAATAATAGCTCTGTAATTAAATGTAACTGTCATTTCATTATTGATTCGGAATATAGTAAATGTGTTTGATGACTGTTCACTCTAACTCCCAGATAATTTTATAATTATTAGCATTCACTGCATGTTTTTTTACTTATCTTCTACACCTCCTAACACTACTTCATTATACCTACTTTTGGTGCATTGATTCAATGTATTTCACAATTAACGCCGTAACTCATGCCCAGTCGAGACTGCCATTGACAATCACCAGACAGCGTCGTGTCATCTAACGATCATTTGGAGCTGAGTTAGTTGTGCTGTACAGTATTATGGCTGCATTATTAAAAATTCCTAGTTGTATTGAAATAAATACACGCTGCTGATAGGCCTATTTTATTTAGGTGTATTTTCACTCTACTACTGTATACATATTCCATATAAAATATATATGGCAAAGACAAGCCAAACCAGTCACTCGTCGCAAAAATCGATTTTGAGTTATTAATACAGTGTTAGAGAGTAAAATAATAGCTATAAAATGGTAAACAAATCATTCAAATCGGACATTTCCTTATGAAGTTACAAGCATTTAACCACACAGCTGTGTGGAAAAATATATGAGAAATTAACTATCAAAGTTTATGATTTCAGGCATTTCTCATGCATAAACTTTCTTTAAATCCTTAAAAATTATTGTTTTAACATTGAAAATGGGAAAAATAACAGCATAGAATGATGTGTAGATATATAAAAATTAGCTTAGTGCAATAAAATAGATTTTTTTAAATTTGACATTCCAGCATGTTTTGGCCATTTTCTCTGAAACACGATTTGCGATGAGTGACTGGTTTGGCTTGTCTTTGCCACATATAGGCATTATAATGTTTCCATGCACCTTTCAGAGAACTAATCCACTATATATCCATTGTGTTGTTTTATTGTTTACTCTATTAAAAGTTGTTACTAATAATAGCATGTTTCTTTATATTATTTATATAATTCTTTAGGAACAATTAAATTGTCAATATCAGTATAGCTAGAGACCACAGTGCAACTATGTATGCAAATTATACCAAGGAACTTCTAGATTTGATTGGCTGTCTAATTTTCATTTCGTTGTTCACGCTCTTATTAAAGAATGCAGTAAAGATTAAAGTTTATATTTAATTGACCCAAATATTTAATTAAAAAATTAAAAAAAACAGATTTTTGATTATTTAAAAACTGAGAGAAAGGTGAAAAACAGGGTGTTTATGCCCCTTTTGCTCAGTTTAAATATTCAAAAATCTATATCTCATTAAGCATTCCCAAGTTTTTCATCAATAACCTGTTTGTGGAGCCTGGCTTTAATGTGTTTTTGGATATATAGTATTTCTATTGGTAAATTTGCAATGAATAAATTTCTTGTATGTTTTGCAAAGCAATGCATCATTGTTAAAACATTGTTTACACATCATTTTTCACATGATCCATAGGCTCAACGGGCAGCTGAAAGGGACAGTGATGAATCTGAAGGGTCAGATGAAGATATGGACGATGATGATGAGGAGGACGATGACATTGAGGCACTGCTGGCTGAAGAATTTGAAGAAGAGGAGGAAGAGGAGGAGGAAGATGAAGAACTGGAGGAAGACGCCATTGACCGGTTAAAGAATGAGATTGGAGAGATGTATGATGAGGACACCAACAGATTGGTTTCACTGCAGGTAAATGTGCTCAAGTTCAAACATTGAATTGTCTATCTATTGAAATATAATTATTATTAGAACACATGTAAAGTTGAAGGTAGTCAAACCTACAGGTCTGGAGTTGCTCGTTCTGAGGCGTTGGGGCCAGACTGTGCAATGCTTTGAGGGGATCGCCACTCCTCTTCAAAGGCCTATTTACCTTCCTATCATAAGCCAGTACACATTTATACTCTTAGGTAGAGAGAGGCAAACACAGGTAATAAAGTGTTTTGCTCAAGGACGTAAGCAACCTGCACAGCAAGAGTTTTGAACCCCTCTGACATGTATGATAATATATAATCTCAAATATCTAGTGAAATAAAAAATGTGAACGCCAAAACTGCTGTAGTTGTTGTAAAAAGCCATCAGAGATGCTTAAATATAATAACTTAATTTACTAAAAGCATTTAGATTTCTCCATCTACAGTATTTGAATATAGAATGATATTATGTTCGAGTATCCTAACTTTTTGTTTTTTATAATTCTTTTCTTATAGGAAAATCTTGAGGAGCTGATGGTTCCCCGGATTGATATCAATGCAGGCCGGAAGCCACACATTGTAAGGTATACCCTTGAGCAGAACCTTAAGCCGGTCATAGACTATCGTCCAAGTTTGTTTGAGAGAGTTTACCCAATCAAAGAAAGCGTTGCTAAGAAGATGCTAGAGGTTGGCTATAAACATCCAAGTAGGTTTGGCAGATGGTGTCCAGTCAAGGTAGGCATTGTCTTTATATTGATTGATTGATTGATTGATTGATTTATTTATTTATTTTCCACATAATGAACAAAAAAAAAAACATATATATGATCAAACATATTCAAAAAATCAATGTGGATGGAGACCACAATAAGTTTAAGAAAAGCTTTAAGATGTGGCCACCATTAAAATAAAAATAAAATACAAAAACTGAAAACATAAACAGGTAGTCTGGTTTCTATTTTAATACATAAGGTAGAAGGCTTAATTACCATACATCGAGACCAGATATCGTTTGATATTAAGTTTAAAAGAAGAAAAATTGGGTAAAGATTTAAAAAAGGGGTCAAGGGAATTCCATAACTTAGGTCCATTATAAAATACAGATTTTTTTCTAAGAGAAGATATACATTTTTCTGTTGTAATATTGTTTTTTGAAAACCTGGTTGGATAGTTATGAATTTCAGACTGTTGGGTTGAGAATAATAGGGTAATATGGATTGGGAGTGTATTACTTATAAATCGATACATAAAATTATAGGTTTGTAGTTTGTTTAGATCAAATATATTAAGTGTATTATATTTATAAAATAAAGGTTTAGTGTGTGTAGTACGACTTGACCCTGAACAAATCCTGAGAGCACGTTTTTGTAATTTAAAAATACTATCAATACTCGAGACTTGTCCAGGGGCATAGGTATGTATGTTTATCAACTGTGGTGGCCCACGAGAGATTACAATAGTTAATATAGGGTAGGACTAAGGTATTGTATAATGATAAAAGTATATGTGGGGGAAAATCATTTTTTAACTTATTCATGACACCAATATTTCTGGAAATAATATTAAAAATTTTTTTACGATGAGGTTGCCTGGAAAGCTTGGAATCTAATGTTACACCAAGAAATTTTGTTTCACTGACCTGGTTAATAATATTATTATCTATTTTTAAAATATGATTATGGTCTTGTTTTGTTTTGTGATTAAAAAGAATAAAGTTAGTTTTATTAATGTTCAATGATAATTTATTTAATTTAAACCAGTTTGATACTTTGCTTAATTCAGTGTTAGTATATTACTATTAACCATTACTACTTTCGAAAGGACTTTTTGATTTGATTGTAACAAAATATTGTAATTGATATTATCAATAGTTCTCCATCATTGTCATCATCATTGCAGTCTCATCATCATCATTAAATCAAAAAGTCCTTTCGAAAGTAGTAATGGTTAATAGTAATCATCATCATCATATAGTGTCTTCATCAATCAATCAAATGAGAGGAATTATGGTGCCATTCTAATGGCATTAGCACTGCCTAAATATTCTTCCTCTCCATCATCATCATTATTATCCTCATCATCATTATTATATTACCCTTATCATAACTTCAACATCATCATTATCTCCATTTATATCATTACCATCATTATCGTCATCGTCTTCATTTTCTTATCATCATCATCATTATACTTGCTGTTATCACCACCATCACTTTAACGTCATCATTATCCCATCATACATATCATTATCATCACTACCAGCATCATCTTCATATTCATTATCATCACACCATCAATCTAATAATCATCATCATTATTGCCATTGTTGTTAACAGATTATTGACCTAATTAACCAATAATCTTATGCACAGTCTACAATCTTTTTCTACAGACAATGGAAGGTGATTGCATTCAGCCAATGCAGGGCCCAGGATTTACCACGTATCCAGTCATTTACCGCCAGCATATATATTTCTTATCAAGCATACGGGCACGGGAGCAGTTTATTGTCAATCCGTTGAAGTTTCTGAAGCAACCGTCACCAAAACCAGTGGTGCCAATTAAAATGGCCATCATAGGCCCACCGAAATGTGGAAAGACAACCTGTGAGTACAGTACACTGCTTCCATGAATAATTGAATAACTTGAAGCGTTACAAAGTTGATTTGCTCACAGGCGTGGACAAATACTTTCAGCAACATTCTTCTGAACATTCTTTGTATGATGAATGTTTAATATAATTTCGAATTGTATTTGTGTGGATGAATAAATGTTATATTGAATTGAATTAAATTGAATTGAAAATTCACTTCATGTAGGTGCACTTTCTTCTCTCTGCAACATAACAATGATGTCTTATCTTCTGAAATTTCAACGTCAGTGGCGGATTCAAGGGGCCATCTAGAGGTGCCATAGCCTCAAAATTTCTTACTTCCGCCCCAACCATAGTGGGGCCGAGGTGTATAGATCCTCCATCTGTGAAAGTACCTCTACGGGCCCCCTCTATTTTGAATTTCTGGATCCACCACTGAACATTAACCTATTGCAACTATTATGTCACTCTTTTCGTACCATGCTCTTTTTGTACCAATGATAACCTTTCTCCTGATTTTTTATTGTTGAACTTTTGTTTGCGACTATTATGCCAGTGGCAGAGATTTGTGCAGTACACCACAACAAGCACATGTTCCAAAGTTTACACGGGACCATGCCTTAAATTTCTCTTTCCTAAAAGATAATTACTCTAACCAGTATATCAGGAAAGCGACTTGAAAGATAGAACATCCAACGGCATGTACATAAGTCACCAATTTACTTTTGATGAGGTTAGGGTGTGAAGTAGTCTTTAGTTGTGAGAAAAAAATTACTTTGCAGTGACAGGGTTTGAACCCAGGACCCAGGGATTGGAAGGCAAACATCTTACCTCAGCACAACTACTTGTTCCCATCAGTTTTAACCAACTGTATGTTACTCTCACCCTAAACTGTAATACTGACAAACTGTAGATGTTTTTCTGTTTCAACTGTAGAAATTGTTGTTAAAAACTTATAACCTTCGTGTTACATATCCAATATAGATACCATTTTTACCTTCATTGAGCATGAGCTCTAGAAACAGTCAGCTGATTGATTAATAGATTTTTTTTAGCTCTACTGTTTCTATAATATACTGCCCTCATCAGAGCTTTCAAGATTACCAGAACTTGTTTTTTTAGTGGTTAAATTTGTAATTTTTAAAAATAAACCTTATTTTTTTTTTTAGTGGCCAATCGTTTCGTGTCTGAATATGGTATGTTACGGTTGTCAATGGGAGAAGCCCTGCGTTTCGTGCTCGACAAACAACCTGCAACGGAGCTTGCTAAGAAGCTAAATTCCCATCTTAGACAAGGAAAAGTTGTCCCAGATGAACTTGCAGTGCAGGCCCTAGAGGTATCACTCACAAATATGAGGTGTCATACAAGAGGGTGAGTGTAAACACAGTACATGCTGTTAGTATTTGCAACCTGTTCTTCTCTATTTACAGTATTATTTAGGTTAATTATTTTGAGGAACGATTCTTTCATTTGATACCTACTGTACTGTCAGTAGCAGGAAAACCCAACCAGGTACCCATTTAATATACTCAATGTAGATATAGTGCCTTGATCAAGGACATGCAAAGTGCAAAGCGAGAGATAGAAACCCAGACTGGAGGTTGGGAAACCTCCAAATTGTATGCTTGTATTTGATAATTCTATTTAGTTCAGCATTAGGTAAAACCAAAAATATATGTTGTGTTGCCCTCTGCAACAGACCAAATATTTTTTTTTTAATCGGGTCGGCAAATTTTTTATTTTTTTAAATTTTCTTCCTTTCACTCAAGTACAAATTCGAGAAATACCGCATTTAATACATTTAGAACATAAATCTCAAACAGACATATATTTTTACCAAAATCGGGCCGTAGATGCACGTGTAAAATCAGTAAAATAGAAGGCATAAGTTTGAGTACCGCGTGCAACGACGATGTATGTACACAATATCAGATCTCTCATGCTGATCTGTCAAGCCACAACCAGATATAGGCCTAGCATATTCTTTACTAGTGTACAACTAGTGGTTGCTTGAAACAAAAATCGTATTCAGTACCTTACAGTATATACGACAATAAGTAAAAACAGGCTTAGGTCTAGCCATTGCTTTAAAGCTGGTACAAAGCTGGACATTTTCGGCTCCGTTAATGCTTTAGGCTAAATATTTTTTTTTTTTCCTCGAAGTTTACTTCGATTGTATTACATAGAGGGCGCTTGTTTGGAAACTTTTCATAGCCATAGTATGGTTTTGCTCGACCTGCCCGAGGGTGATCGTGTGGATTGGATACACAAATTATTTTATGTTTCGAAGCCAAATAAATATTTCTTTATACTGATTTATTTTTGTTAAATTTACTTTAATATACACTTGGTTAGTAATAGTATTTATTCCGCCATTACTTTATATATTTTTTGTTGGCAAGCTTATACTTTAATAAAAGAAAAAGAAAAAAAAATCCGACCGACGATCTCAATTTTTTCCATTTAAGGGCAACACAACATTTTTTTTTTTTTTGGGCCTTATCATAGGAATATATATATATATATATAAGTGTAAGATTACTTTCTCAAAACTAACATTTTTTTGTGTGTTTTAAAAGAAATGCTAGGTTCAAAAACATTTTCTGTATTTTTATTTTATCCAGATACATTCTTGATGGCTACCCACTCACAAAGAGACAAGTAGATTTGATGACTGAAATGAATATCATACCTGTAGTTGTACTAGAGCTGGAGGTTGACAGTAGAGAGGTTATGGTGTGGGGAATGAAGGACAGGTACTCACCTGACAGGTAAGTCCATCGGTCAAAGTTCAGTGTTGGTCAGTGGTCACACAAGCCACAGCTTCGTCAATATCATTAAATATTGTGTATATTTGTGAATGATGTAACAACAACAGCAACAATTTTGATAATAATAATAATAAAATTAATAATAATAATAATAATAATTATAATAATAATAATAATAATTATAATAATAATAATAATAATTATAATAATAATAATAATAATTATAATAATAATAGCAAGAGCACTCAATAGAGCATATCTCCACCCACCGCCAATCTCTTCTATTAAAAATTCCTCAGAAAACCTAACAACCCCTGTAACTGGATTAAATATGTGCAGCTGTTTTTGCGATATATTAAACACAAGAAACATGAAGTACCTAAAAATCGTGACCAATACTTGATAATTTCTTCCTAGTAAACTTGGTTAAACTTTTGCGTAAGTTTCATTCATATCATTGATTAGTTTTTTAATCTAGGACAAATTACTTTAAATGGTCCTCACATCGACACCCTAATCCAGACAGTCACCAAAATTTAATCATTTCTTCATTGAGTTATACCTAACACTCCCTGTTATTTTCAATTATGTTTGTGCAGCCATTTTTTGAGATATTTCGAACACACACAAAAAAAAAATACTAACAGCAAAGCGTTACACACATAAACATTACAAAACGAAAACGTATCTCCTGGCGGAGATGATGATAATAATAATAATAATAATATTAATAATAATAATAATAACAACAACAAGTGATAGTAATGGATATTTTGCTAATATCTGCCCCTTGGACATTGTTAAAACATTTGTGGGACAAATGTGTGCTTGTTGGACACACTTTTATTCCTGGCCATGTTTGAATGGACACTTGGTAAGTTTGATTAGCACTCTGGAAAAGTTTATTGTATTAGTAATAATAGTAATGTTTAACTTATATAATAATAATAATAATAATAATAATAATAATAATAATAATAATGTTAGTCTTATAGAGCACTTAATGCAAAACAATGATTCTTTGCGCTTTACACAAAAGAAACTTGAGAAATGGAATGACACCATGAAATATCTTAACAAAACAAAAAATGAAACTAAGGAACCATTTTCACCGCTCTGTTCTCCAGCACTTCGAAGCTCCCATAATTGAGAGCTCGCCGGAACATAACTCCCAGGAGCTCGAGTGAAAATGGCAGCTTTCCAAAAAGACCACTAAGCTTCATATTATTTCCTCAATCATTGGGTGGAGAAAGACAACCAATACACAGAGACACGAATGAAACACACAGCTAGGATTGAACCTCAACTTCAAGGTTGAGAATCAGACCTGCAACTGCTGTGCCAAACTGCTCCTAATTGCATCATTATTCTGATTTTACTTTTGTTGCTTTTTATTCATTTGCTGTCCACAGATCGCTTCCTCTTCACGACAGTGCTCAGATCCTAGCCATACGGATAGCAAGCTGGCAGAAAGAGATCACTGCTGTCCGAGAATGGTACAAGGAACAGCACCGGAACTGGGTGATGGTGAACGGACAACAGTCCAAGTGGAAAGTGTGGGAAATGGCAAAGGCCGAAGCACACAGAAGTGTTAGACAGATTCAAACATACCTGCAAAGATTATCAGAAGGTTTGTCATGCTTGCAGCCAGTGGTTAACATGTTGACTGCCAGACCTTTTTTAGGCTTCCCATGTGCTAGAACAAGTTTACATGTACAAACATACTTTTTTGAAATTTTATCTAGTCATATATCATCAAAATAGTATGTCTTATAAATTGGTAGGAAAATATTAGGGGATGAGTAAACTCGTAGCCAGCACTTGGACAGTACTTTTTATTGCCTCTGCCAAGTGCGAGTTTTCTTGTCCGCTTTTTGCATGGGTTGGCATATGTTCAGAGGGCACCCCCACTCATGCAATCGAGTGTACTACTGGCAAAGTTATTTGTACGTAATATCGTCTAGGTGTATCTTTCAAACTACCAGCCGTTAAGTCTGTGGTTCTACAATATATAACAATGAAATATAAACGCTAGAATGTTAACCGATTTTAACGAGTATAATCGTCTCTAGCACCCTCAGCAACACCATGTGGAACGAATATACTCGTCTCTGGCAGCAAACAAGTTAACTTCTGGTAGTGTGAATGTTCTTCACCATACTAGTACGGTATATACATGAACACAAATACAATAGTCCTTAGATTTGTGTGAGTGGTTCAAAGTTCTCACAGTAGTTTGAACACAGGAAGCAACATAGAAAGTGTTCCTAAATTGATCTGATTCTAAAAATGTCCCCAAGTTAAATAATACCCAGGCCTCTACGGAAACCTAAACTTCAAATCAAATCTTTTTCTCATCGGTGTTGTGCACCTGTTTGATTTTCCAGCATAATTTTTGCCAGAATGAAATACTTGCAGGTTGATAAGAGTTTAGTTCTCAAACTATGCTCTTTGTTATTTGCTGGCCACTAACTCTATGCTGTTATCTGATATTCATATTGTCTATAGTGTGGTTATTCCATATAATAGGGATAGTTACATTTAGCCCTACAATATCAGTACCAACATTACTAAAATCTAATATTGTTTTTTCAGGAAAAGCTGCCTCTATCGCAGACATGTGCATAACACCAAAAGAATGCCTAGCCCGACTTGGTATCTTCCAACAATACTGCCCGGTGAGCCTGGCAAACAAAGGCGAACTTGTAGACTGTTCTACGAATCCCACCCTAGAATTCACAGCAGAATTTCGTGGTAGGTACTACAAGATGGAAAATGCTGAAAAGTTAGCAGAGTTCCTGGAAAACCCTGAGAAGTATGTTCCACCACTTGCCCCACGGAAACTGCCTCCGTCTGAAATGCTCCCGAGACGCAGAACTGCCATGGATGCTAAGAGCATGTTCCCAATTCAGATTGAGTTACAGGGGTATTGTCCAGTTACATTTCTAGATGGGAAGCTTAGGTAAGTTTGTGTATTACTGGAACTTAATGACAGGTTAGAGTATTTTTGTTGATGGACAAAAAATTAAGATAAAAAATAATGATAGTTAATAACGTTCATCAAAAACAGACCTAGGAAACGCAAGGCATTTTGTATGCAGAGGCATCATGAAATTCTGCAATATCCTAGAGCCATATACACGTGCTTAGATCATGCTCTGCGTCCCGTGTTTACAACATAAGTTCACTCTAAGCTTGTCTATGACATACAGCTAAATCTCAAAGATTCCAGGACACTTTGCCACTGCAAACATACAGGGGTTTTAGGCTTTCTCCAGCCAATAAAATACAATTGTATCATCATAGTACAGTTTTTTTAACCATTGTTTCACTTTCTATTAGGTATGAGGCGATTGTTCCCGGCAATCCAGAATTGATTGTAGAATACCGAGGCAACCTTTACTGTTTTGTTACAGAGGAGAAACTTCAAAAGTTCCTTCGGTAAAGATGAATTTATATTTTCAATACATTATATAGGATTCTATTACACAAATAAATAAATGTAATGTCATATGTATTTATTAAATAGAAAAAAGGTCACATCAGCTTTATCAACAGAATAAACCAAATTTATAATCAGTTCAAATCAGATCACTTTTTTTACAACCTTTGTACAAGTTGAAATAATGTACTGTAGTTACAAAACATAATATATAAATTTCAATAGAAAACTCTTACTTAAAATATCATAAAATGTATATTTCTGAATGTTGATTAGTTATCCAAGGTTAATTCTATTTTTTTTTAAAGTTTGGAATATTGAGACGGTTGACCACTAATAGTGTCTGCTTGCCCTGCAGTTAACACTACTTTAATAATTATTAACCAAAACCATTTTGAGATTAACCACAGCCATTTTGTAAAATCTCGACAGAACCCCTGAGAAGTACTATAACTTGAAGTTACCGCACAAGCTACCGCCTAAACAGGACCCATTGCTGGTTACATCATTGCCAATGCTAGGCTACATGGAACAGACTCTATCTACAGCTATTACCAAAAGTCTGACTGCTGTAGGGTGCTTTAAGCCTAAATATCCATTTGTTAGTGCTTCACGATCAGCACTGCTCTATGTCGCATACCACCTTAAAGGTAGGATATGATTTTCATATTGTTTTTATATATTAAAGGTGTTCTCCTTCACAGCAAAACTCCTTGATAACTGGGAATGGTTGTAACATTGGATTAGATTGGTCTGTTTTGTGATGCATAAACCAGGGGGAAATCCCTTGCTCTTTTCAGATACATCAAGTACATAAGTACAATTACATGAGTGAAGTACTAGCTCTGTATTTTTTATTGCATCAAGATTTGTTTTAATCACCACTGCGACAGTTTGGTTTTTTTTTTTTTTTAAGTAGTGTTATCTTGTTTGATGTTTTGAATTTAGGCATTTTTCATTAGAACAAAATGAGTTCCAAAGTTCCCTGAGCAAATGAAAAAAATGATGATTGATTGATTCAATTGATTGCTTGATTGGCAGTAGTGAATTCATCAACACCATAGTACATTTCCTCTTAAGGAATAATAATTGTTATGACTAAAGAAGCTTATCTTATTATTATTTAGAAGCCATACTATTATGCTTAACCTTTGTTCAAGGCCCTAATTTTAGGTTACCCACTCTTTATTGCGCTTATTGCGCGCCATACCTAATTTATTTGGCATCCCATACTCGATTTCTTTTTTTTTTGGTCGTAAAATTAACTTACTTGTTGGTGCCGCTGTTCAGAAAGAGAAAAAATAATATAATAAGGACTTGTGGCTAGTCTATTTTACGCCTTGCATACCAGACAAACTGGCATCATAATATTATCTGCCTGCCATAAAAGTTAGAATTAGAAAATTAGAATTTGTGTTTACATAAAATAAAATGCAGTGATCTGAATTCAACATAGGGAGATATCCCAAACCTTGCTCTCTGGTGATGCTGATGCTGTCAAGCCTCTATTCATACTTGTCTGAATGATTGATACTTTTAATGAACATGTCAACTGGTCATTCACATCACATGGCTAAGCTTAGTGCCAGATGCTTATTTTGATGTCATAAAAAATAATGCCCAATGTGTGTTGACATATGATGGACCTTAGTTCAGCCTTTGATATAGTGAAAATAAAGCCACTGCAAAAGACTATGATTTTCCAGAGAACTGTTGGAAGTTGACCACTAAAAAGTTGTTCAGAACCTTTCTTTTGTCCTGTTCCTTAAAGGGAATTGAGGTGGGATCATAACCCCTGTTAATCCGAGGGTTATCCATGGTACAGGTGAGATTTAATAATAGTTTTGATGATTTAAGCCAATTCCAAGATGTCAGTCAATGGTATCATTTGAAAGTGTTGAAAAGTGTAGTAGTAAATTGTTGTTGATAGTAAACAGGTTGGCTAAAGGTGGATAAGGTTTACCATCAACCTGTTAATGTGTTTGGCCTACTGTTTAAACCCTTTGTAGTTTTAACGTGTGTGTTTGGGTGAGGCTAGTGTGGGTATGTGTAGGTGGGTATATAATACATATGTGACCTTTTTTTCTAAGTTTTTCGATAAAACTTAATACTTTCTGAAAACTTCACAAAATGTATGTTATTTTAATTATCCGATGTATAAATTTACAAGGTACAAAATACAAACACGATATACGCTACAACAGAGTGCCACACCATCATCAGGGTCATAACAAAGATTGCCAGTGGTCCATCCAAAATGACCAACTGGGGCTTGGAAAGGCTGCCTAGATTCTCTATCTCCACAAAATAACAACAATTTGTATTTACTGTTGCAAATTTAATGTCCAAATACTGACCTTACAATAGATTACTGGTTGAAATATAACTTTATTACAGAAAATAACAAATTTTTTGTTTGGAGCTTTCCCAATTTTTGGGTGGGGGTGTGCTCATGATTTTTTGATTGTTCTCTGGGTACTGGGTTTGAAGAACATAGACATACCATTTATTTTCCTATAGTAGTTTAGTTCCATGCTGGTACATTTGTTCCTATAATTAAAGCTGAGGCACATAGATATGTACCTGTAGGCCAACATTATCTTATCAGTTTAAAATGAATATTAATATCTTATTACATCATCTGGAAAAGCTCAGAGCATGATGTTCTGATATCATAAAACAATGTGAAGATATTTATTTCATCACTTAATTTGTTTCCATCAATGTATTCTGTTTGTTTATGGATGAACTGGCTCTCACATTTTTTGCATGCCTCAGGCAAACTCAGCTTATGAAGCAGATATTAATTGATCTGTGTGGATTATTTCTTTTAATTTTGATTAGTTCAAATGCAAGTTAAACAAATATGTTAATGATATTTAATTGTTCTATATTGTTTATCATTAGTATTATTCTATTATTATTATTATTATTATTATTATTATTATTATCCATATATATTTGTTTTTTTTTTCTGGGAGCAGCACATCTCTAAGATGACAGTGGGTCCGCTTTTGCTGCTCCCTGGCTCACCTGATTATTCTTCCTTTGTGAATTTGATTTTTTTTTTTGTATTTGTAATGCTTTATATTGTTAATTGTTTTGCCAGAATGAATAAAATAATAAAAATAATAATTATCAGGGTTAGCGCCAGGATTTTTATTTTGAGTGGGGTTGGTCTGACGTTCAAAATCTCTCGGGAATGGTCCAGGGAAACTATGTCAATTAAGGGGTTTTAAAGGCTTATGAAATTGATTTTAGAGTTAAAAAATATGTAAAAAATAAACCTAATATCTAGGGCCTCTTAGGCCTATATCCTACAATATAATAAGCCTTTGAAATCATGTACGGTCAGGAATTTAAGGTCAAATTATGAAACGTGGTATGCTTGGCACCTTGACTTCTGATGATATAGTATGCAAAATGTATTACAAACACGAAAATTATAATAATTGGCTATTATATTTGTTATTATAAAACTTTTGGTACACTGTCATTCTAAGCCGCTCTGCATCTCTCTGCCATTTTTCCTTCTTCCTGATTCTTCTTAGTATATCGTATAAAGAATAATATACTGACATTATATTTGTAATTGTGTAATACACTTTGATGAAGTTGCATTGCATACATGCCAGCACTCCCATTTTGGCCTGGAGACTCCGTTTTGGTGACCTGTCTCCTGGCCATTTTTTTTTCTCATGTTTTCTCACACGCTCTCCCGGTTTACAAAGAAAATTGTATAGGCGTACTGATCTTAATTGTATTGTCTTGTTTGCAATGAAATACTTCGAAAAACCTTAATGAAACTTTCAATGTTTTGCTCGGCGACAACATAGCAAAGTCACGCTGGACTTGCATACACAGGATCATGATTACAAGGTGTCTAGTCAGTAAAGACTATAAGTGTAAGAATCATGTGATTTACCCTTATGATACATTGATTAGCTAAAACTTCCAGGGGTTAAACCCCATGGACCCCCATGTAATGGGGAGATCCCCTCTCCAACCACCCCACCCCCAAGACCAAGGCCCTCGGTGACGCTTCGTCCAAATTCTCTAATTTTTACTTTGGTGTACTTTTACTTTGGAACAGCCGTACAGGCAAGTTTATACAGCTTTGAGAACTGTGATGACCTTGAATATTATTTTATTTTTAGTTCATCAAACAAAACAGTATTAAATACATTTGATATCTGTTGGTTGTTATAAGGAGGTAACTTGCTTACAGATTACATCCCAGATCCGGATGAATGCTCTGGATAAATCCATGTTCACTGCATCGGTTTAGGTGATCAATTAGCCTGTGATCCCAATTGGTCTGCTTATTTGTGAACCAGACCAATCTTTGTCCACTGTTCCGACAATAGATAACGTTTAAAAGATAATTTTTATTTTCAAAAATTGTTGTAACAACCATGATATGATAATTTTTTCTTTTAGCTTACAACCCCAAAAGCTCAGAGTATGTCCGAAAGAAGTTTAAGAAGAAACTGATGCAATTCGAAGAGCAGTGTGAACTGATTAGGTATTTAGGAGACAATATGACCTTAAAATACCGTGACCCTGGCACCCGACCAATAGATTTTGACCACAAAATGAACACCTTTTTGAATTTAAGAGGCACAGAGCCTACCCCTACCTGGCTCATGTAAACTAACTGTTGTGTATATAAGTATATGATAACAAAATATCCAAATGTTTGCAGATGAAACAAGCAATCCACCCATTACTAATATCAAATGATTAAAAATATAGTGATGTTATTACAAATGGAATATAAACATATATTCTGTACTTTTTTTAAAAAAATGTTTAAAAAAAATTTAAATTTTATCATCTATGTTGTATAATATTTGTGTTCACATTATCCGTCCAATAAATATCTATCCTGCTCAGAATATATACATTAGTCTTTAATTTATTTAAATTATATTTTTGAGAGACTTACAGGTTATAGTTTAGTTAAAAATCAGAATTTTTTAAAAATTTAACCACTTGTATAACAACCTATACAGTATTTTTCTTATACCATATGTATTTAATAGGTTTACTGTATTTCTAGTAATAATTCACACAAACACCCAAGCAGGCTGTATTTGACATTGTTAGCTCCTCTTAACTTCATAATGAAAACTTTTCATAAAGAGAACTTTTATTTATAATTATGTATGAGAATTCATATTTATGTATGGTTGTTCTGTGTTTTTCAAAGTAATCCAGTTATTGTCACTTTTGAAGTTAGTACTTTGATTCACCTGCTATCCACATTAGTATCTAGGACTACAAATAGGTGCGGTACCTGATAGGGTGTTGTTGCATTGAACGTGTTTGTCAATACCTAGTGCATTGCATTGTAATACTGCAGAATAATAAAATATGAATATGCCCCTGTAACTGTTTTTGTACCGGTATTCATATTTTATTAACAAATGAATATAGAAATGGGAAAATTGATGGGAACATTTCCCTAAGATTAACTTATCTGTACAAGTTATCTTTAAAGAACTGTTTCATATTCCAATCCAGTTTCGTTATATATTTAAACATTTTTTACTGTTATCTTTCAGCATCTATGTCAAAGCACTAACACATAGCCTTGATTGGTATGACCATAATATAAAATTACCAATGTCTTGACCATGCCTTTACTGAATTATAGACATACAGTATTATGTCAACACTGTCTATACAAATTAGGGATGTTTTTCGGTAACATCTGCTTGTCATATTGCTTTATGTATTATATGTATTAAGTACTACTACTGTACCATAAAGTTATATCCATCCAACAAATATACAGCTGCAATGTATGTAAATATTGACTGATGTATTTAAAGAGTTATTCCAATGATGATTTCTGTATATAAAATTGATTATTTGCATTGAAGTGTTTATCGATAGAAGTTATTAAAAAAACTTTCAGTCATTCATCGTACTCAGTTTCAGTATTTTCTATTGTCATATTACTTGTGAGCAGTTTTCAAGAGCAGAAATATTTCACTCAAAAGAAAAATGGTTTAGTTTTCTTTGGTGTAAAATACGTCAAGAAAAACTCCAGTAAATAATTACTCAGTGGGGTCCTTCTTGGTAGTGAATTGGCTGTACACCAGAGACAAATCCCCTGCTGTTTTACAAAACACACATACACTTCTTATTCTTATTATTTTTATTTAAAAAAAAAACAAAAAAAAGAAACATGAAGAGTACACAGAAAAACCATCCAACTGAGTTAGCTGGAAGGAAGGACAAAAGCGAACCTTGTCGCTGTAACTAAAAGTCAGTGTTTCCGACTCATCCACTTGACATGAGATTAAACACCAATGACTTGATTACTGTGCCAGGTGAGGTATTACACTTCCATTTCAGCCCTCAAACTAAAATACAAAAAGAGACAAAATATATGAGCTCTAATAAAAAAGAAGAACTACAAAGCCTGCCAGGAAAATTTGTACAATTCAAACAAACCACAATAAAATTGATCAAAGAATAAAGTATTTAGTGTACATCAAATTTCATAAAAATCTATAAACAAAAGTACTTTTTAAATATAAAGCCTAAGATAAAAATAGATGCTTATAGAAGAACAGTTAAATGTTAAACGTTTTAACAAGGAGAACCACCCAACCGGTATGTTATTATAGTTTTGATATTAAGTTTGTTATTTTTATTATACTGTAGTTATCTTTTATGATTTTCATTGCAGTACAGTATTTTATACCCTTAGTGATAAATGAGTTTATTGGTTGATGGAATTGAACCAGAATTACGAAGTCTAAAATAATCTTTACGGTTCATCGCTACCAATAGTAACTTCTGTAGTTGCTACGGATATTTTGCTTAATTACGACGTACAGAAATACTGTATACAAAAATGCTACGGAAAATGTATCATAGACCAAGACCCATAAGTCCAGAGCAAATGACTTTTCCATCAGGATCTTTAGTTATGTCCCTAGACGTTGATTTCATTTATTTGATATCAACTAAACAACATCACAAAACCGCAACAGATAAACGGAATACATTGAAACAAAATTAAGAATACTACTAGTCATCCTTGTTGATATATGGGATAAACCCTCAAACCCCTACACAGGATTTATTTCCAGAGGGCTTCCAATACACACAAAACAGGGGACAAAAAGAAAAAAGCAAATAAATATTCATTCAAAAAACCCACATGAGGGAAAAGTGGCAAAAATCGATGATCGTACTGTGCAATTAAAATTATCATTAGTTATTTATTAATTTTCTTCACTTGTTAATTGACCAATGAGGGAAGGCATGAAGGCATGGCAAGAGATCAGGGGTGGCGCCAGCGGGGGCCGGGGGACAGGCCCCCTCCCCCGTCGGGGAGAAAAAGCACAATTCATTGGGGAGAAAAAAAAATATATGTATTTTCTACATATTAGTAGACTTTAAAATTAAAAACCCCCAAATCGTCCAAAAAATCGCCCTGGACCACTTTCGGAATCTTTCGATCGAAGCTCGACTATACCCACTTTACATTCTTGGGGGTAAATCTGACCCCTCGTCGGGGCAATCGCCCCCCCCCCCCCAAAAAAACCCTCCCCCAGGAAAATCCTGCCGCCACCGCTGCAAGAGATGATCTTTTACCCGAATTTTGAAGGTAATGTAATTAGAAATGATTTTTTTTAGTCCGGCCTGCTGTTCCAATCATGGATTCCGGAATAGTAGAAAGTACATGGAGATTTTAAACATATGTTCAATCCTGTACCTTTTGTTTGGAAGTCCGAAGCAGTTAGAGTCCTACCTGTAATTTAAGCAACCCATATTTTGCACTCAAAACAAATTATTAGGTGCCATGGAAATTTTGTATTTACTACGGATATTTGAAGACTTGCTTATACTGAAATGCATTTTACTAACTTAAGTAGTCTGTAATTGTAGTCTTTATGCCTAGCTTTGCCTTTTTATTTTATAATTCGTAAGCCTAAAATGGCTAACAATTGTCCTTATAAAACACACTCGAAGTGTGTGTCATGTTGGAGCAAGAGAATAATCATATTAGATGCCCCAGTAACAACTCCCCAGAATCAATAATGCTATGTGGACACTGAAAACAACATGAGGGCATTGATTATTTTATTCAGATGACATCGCATTCATCTCGATCAGTGAAAACAACTACATAACTTTATTTCTGATAATCGATGCTTAAACATATCGTGGCAGAATGTCAGATTGCTTGTCATCACAATACGCATATGGTACGTCAAATGACCTATTAAGTAGAACATGTAAAAAATCAATAACAATAGTAAAACTTCAACACAAGAAAACATGAGAAAGGTGGCAAATATTACATTTTACTGAATTCATATTATAAAATTTCATTGGCGTTTTTTTTTTTTTTTTTTTTAAATATGAATGTTTTTGCTGTTTGCTCTGCTTTGTGTCTCTTTTGTAACTTGTTTGTTGTGATCAGGACTCCCCTGAAAATCTGCCTTGCTGAGTGGGAGACAATTCCTTTTGAAATATTAATATACGAAACGAAACGAACATGCATTGTAAATTATTGTTATAAATTTGTTCTATAAAACAAAAAGACAGTAACTCCAAAAAGAGACAGAGACATTTTGAGATTCAACGTTTCGATCTATTTGAACATTTTCAAGAATACTGGTGAGAAAATCTCACCCATCCATATATATTTACAATATTTACAGAAGTATAACACAAAGCAAATAAAAACCAACCAATGAGAATAAAATCAATGTTGAAAAATCACAATTTGTTCTAATTCTACTGTAACTGATTCAATGTCAATAAAATTATAAGGAATGTATGTCGACACCTTTTTAAGGAATGTATGTTGTCACCTTTTTCATGGTTCCTTGTGTTGAAGTTTTACTATCGTTATTGATTTTTTACTTGTTCTACTTTATAGGTCATTTGACGTACCATATGCGTATTGTGAATGACAAGTAATCTGACATTCTGCCACGATATGTTGCCACGATATGTTATAGCATCAATTATCAGAAATAAAGTTATGTAGTTGTTTTCAGTGATCGAGATGAATGTGATGTCATCTGAATCTGTAAAAAAGTGTCGACATACCCATCCATATATATTTACAATATTTACAGAAGTATAACAGAAAGCAAGTCACTAAAGCTGTCTCTTATACACATCTAGATGTGTATAAGAGTCAGCCCCTCGTCGGG